GCCACAGTGATGTGGGACGAGCCGTGCTGGTGGTGCTGGTGGTGGTTGTGCCGTCCTCTCCTCCTGTCTTCTTCGTCTTCGTCCTCTTCCTCGCACTGGGTGCCGCGCTCCATGGTGTGCGTGTTGGCATGCGTATTGGTCAGTAGGGAGGGCGTCGGCTCCAGGGCGGCGTGCGTGGTTTTAATGCGAACGGCAGCTTCGCGCAGCAGGTCGATGGCATGAGGCAGAGCTGGGAGGATGAACTGGAAACACTCCTGCAGAAACACGGACATGTTTAGTCCCAGAACTGCCGGAAAGCTGCTCCCAGTTCATACAGCAGCAGGAAGTCCTGTGAGGGAGAGGATGACTTCCACTGACGCGCTCGTCAGTGCCGTCTGCATTTGGTTTGGCTTCATATAGCTGAAAATGGCGTCATTCGATCTGGATTTCTGCAGTAAAACCACTTTTGAGTCCAAGAGATGCGGCAGAACCCGACAAGAACCGTGAGGAGTCACTACTGCACCTGAGAGCCTTTCTTGCTGCCTGGAAGGTTGATGATCAGCGTTTTACCACGAATACCGCAAACTGGCCTGGAATGAGTACAGAGGAGCAAACATTAGATCAAGCAGGTACATCACACACAAGGCTGCTGTGGACTTCATGAGCCTCACCTGGAGAGCATTCCCAGAGGAGTAACGTTGAGGGATCCCATCAGCATGGCCAGAGCCATCCCTGGGGCCTCTCGCTCAATCACCTCCCTGGTCGCCTGCAACATCAGTGGGATGACTTCATCCATAGGACGAACATTTCAGAAACATTCCTGCTTACCAAGCCGACAGATGGGTCTCAAGAAAAACGACGCAAATTAGCTGCCAAGGAGTTGAGAAAAATCAAACATAATGCTACCAGGAATGCGTTGTCTTCTAATTTGATCATATATGGCCGCCTTCATGCGGTGGGAAAAAACATTAGCAGCCTGGCTAACGCTACATGCCAGCAGCCCGGCTGGCATTACATGCTAGCAGCCTGGCTAACACTGCATGCTAGCATCCTGGCTCTCTCTACATGCTAGCAGCCTGGCTCACTCTACATGGTGGCAGCCTGGCTAATGCTACATGCTAGCAGCCTGGCTCACTCTACATGGTGGCAGCCTGGCTAATGCTACATGCTAGCAGCCTGGCTCACTCTACATGGTGACAGCCTGGCTCACTCTCCATGCTAGAAGCTTGGCTAATGCTACATGCTAGCAGCCTGGCTCACTCTACATGGTGGCAGCCTGGCTAATGCTACATGCTAGCAGCCTGGCTCACTCTACATGGTGACAGCCTGGCTCACTCTCCATGCTAGAAGCTTGGCTAATGCTACATGCTAGCAGCCTGGCTCACTCTACATGGTGACAGCCTGGCTCACTCTACATGGTGACAGCCTGGCTCACTCTACATGGTGACAGCCTGGCTAATGCTACATGCTAGCAGCCTGGCTCACTCTACATGGTGACAGCCTGGCTCACTCTCCATGCTAGAAGCTTGGCTAATGCTACATGCTAGCAGCCTGGCTCACTCTACATGGTGACAGCCTGGCTCACTCTACATGGTGACAGCCTGGCTCACTCTACATGGTGACAGCCTGGCTAATGCTACATGCTAGCAGCCTGGCTCACTCTACATGGTGACAGCCTGGCTCACTCTCCATGCTAGAAGCTTGGCTAATGCTACATGCTAGCAGCCTGGCTCACTCTACATGGTGACAGCCTGGCTCACTCTACATGGTGACAGCCTGGCTCACTCTACATGGTGACAGCCTGGCTAATGCTACATGCTAGCAGCCTGGCTCACTCTACATGGTGACAGCCTGGCTAATGCTACATGCTAGCAGCCTGGCTCACTCTCCATGCTAGAAGCTTGGCTAATTCTACATGCTAGCAGCCTGGCTCTCTCTACATGCTAGCAGCCTGGCTCACTCTACATGGTGGCAGCCTGGCTAATGCTACATGCTAGCAGCCTGGCTCACTCTACATGGTGGCAGCCTGGCTAATGCTACATGCTAGCAGCCTGGCTCACTCTACATGGTGACAGCCTGGCTCACTCTCCATGCTAGAAGCTTGGCTAATGCTACAAGCTAGCAGCCTGGCTCACTTTCCATGCTAGAAGCTTGGCTAATGCTACATGGTAATACGATCGTTTCTGCCACATCAGTGTTTGGTTGGTGCTGCAGCCTGTGGATTTGCCGGGTGAGTGGAACTGGGAACCGTCATGGTGGGTTCATCTTAAGCAGGGAGTGTCAGCTTGTACTGGTACCTCTGGTGTAACATCTCGTGGCGCAAAACCAGTTCCTCCGGTGGTCAGAATGAGATTAAGCTCCTGCTCATCACACCACTCCAGAAGAGTTTCCTGCATGGAAGGAATTCCAGAACCAAGTCAGGAACATCTCCGCTTCCTAATCCAGCATGTGAAAGACACCAAGGAGCCCGTACCTTGATTTCCTCGATCTCATCTGGAACTATTTTATAAGCCGCGATGACTCCTCCCAGCCTGCAGGGGGAGACGACAGTGAGGGTCAGAAAGTGAAGTAGTGGCGCCGGCGTTCATGAGAGGACTCACAGTGAAGGGTCGTGGACCAGGTCCTTCAGGTTCACTCCACTCCTGTCTTCTGCCAGGTTTTTGAAGCAGCTGTCACTGACTGCAGGGGAGAGAGGGCCGGGTCAGAACCAGAACCGTTCTGCTCAAGTCTTTCTAGACCCATCAGGTTAGAACCAGAACCGTTCTGCATTTTAGACCCTTGATCCTGTAGCAGCATGTCTCAACACAGGTTCTGGTCTTCTGGTCCTTTGGATCATTTCTGAAAGTTCTGGTTCTGTCCTGAGCCTCATCTGGCTCTCTTCCTGGTTGTAAAAGGAACAGGATGACTTAATTGGACCGGCACCGACTGTTAGAACCATGTGGGAACGTCTTCAGTCACACTGAGCAGTGAGTTTATGAGCTTTCCTGGAGTTTCAGCTCACAGTTCAGTTCTGTTGGGTCCACCACGTTTTAATGTCAGATGGATCATTTATGGAACAGGATCCAGAATAAAATGGATATTTAGTATAGAAATCTTCGATCCTGAACTTTTCCAGACTTTTGTCAGAATCTTTTGGGTCCGGTTCCATCAGCAGTGATCCAGAATTGAGTAGAGACAGACCGGCTGATACCAGAACCAGAGCAAACACAGGGGAACCCCCGGGCCCAGTTATCTCCCTCCCGGTCTGTTGGTGCGGTTCGGACCTGGGTCGCGTTTGGTCCGGTTCTGGGTCTGTGCGATTACTTTTTTCATGTTGACTGATGATTATTCAACGCTGTAATTAACAAAACACCGTCTTGTTTGAAGAGGCCTAGTTAAAGTTTGGACTTAAATCCTCCACTAGTTCAACAGAGCAGGTCAAAGGTTATCGTCAGTGTCGTCAGAGACTCAGCTGCTAGTGGGTGTGAATACTTTTTCGGTCAGGATGGAGAGATTCATTCAGAAATTAAATCATCGGTAATAATTTCAGCTCCTGCTGCCGACTGGACCCGACCAGGCCCGGTACCCGGCTCTCGGCCCTGGTTCCGAAGCAGCTGGGTCGAGTCTCGGTTTTGCCCTCACATCTTTTAATCAACTGAGTCGTGGTTAATGATGCTGGCGGACCATTTCCGCTTTAACCGGGCCGGCTGGTTCCGAAGGTTCGGTTTGTGTGTGCGTGAGCAGAACCGCGGCGGCGGTCGGAACCAGCACATCTGCAAAGGGACATGAATAATGCAGCTCATGTAGGAGCAGAGCGCTCCACCGTGAGGAAACATGATGTTCAACCAGAACCAAGCTGGAGCTGTTCAGCACAGCGGAACGTTTCAAAATAAAAGCCTGCCAGGAATTTCTAAGGGCACCGGCCCGATGGAGGAGGCGCTCGCCTTTTGTTTTGAAAGTCCAAACCGGGGTTTCTTCTCCCGTCTGTCTGCCTAAATGAAATCTCCAAATCGGCTCACATTTCTGCTTCAAACACAAATTTCCCTCAATTACTAACGTTTCCATGCAGATACGAACCCAATCCCAGACGAACTGAGCCCGCATGTGTCCGAACCGAACCCAGAACTCAGCCCGAACCGCCGGTTAGCTCAGTGCTAGGCGAGCCGCTCCGCAGAGCTCGGAGCCGGATCGTGACAACCGCCTGAAAACGGTTCCGGTCCGCAGCGAACCGGGCGCTTCGGGTCAGAACTGCGAACCTACCAGTCAGGATTCCCACTCGGGTCTGATGGTCGTGGTTGGTGAGCACCATCCCGTCCGCCGCCATGTTTCCAACCTCTGTCTGCACCGTGACGGCGGGGGAGGGGGGAGGTTCCGCTGCACCTCTGGAGGACAGGCCGAGCCGAACCGAGCCGAACCGAGCCGAGCCGAGCTAGATGGGTCCGCTGCACCTCTGGAGGACAGGCCGAGTCGAACTGCTGGTTCCGTGACTGCTAAGAATTTCCTAAGTCTTTTCCTGGAAGCAGAGGTTCTATTGGGATCATAAACCAGAACCCATCAGTTCTGGACCAGAAGTTTGAGTTGTTGACACATTTGCTTATTTTTATTTTATTCTGATTAATTTTACTTGAAAGTAAATGTTGACATGTTTGATGCTTTGTCAGGACATGAAAGTAAAACTCATTTTGGTTTCATTTGATCCACAGCAATCCCAACTAAAGGTTTGCTAAAATAACTTCAGTTCATTCCAGTCCATCCAGGATCAGTCGGAGCCCTCGGCCCACAGCATCACTCCTCCCAGCAGAGCCCAGCCACAGCCACACTGGTTTCCAGAACAAACCATCCAAAAATACACAACATACAGAATCCATCTTAAAACACCAGGAGGAAACAGCTGCAGGAATCTTTAGAGAATTGTATCATTAAAATGAGAAATGCTGAGCATCTTGTGACGTTTGGAAAAAGTAAATAATTAATCAGTATTAAATTATTCATAAATCATTGTGACAGCAGGATTTGAAATGATTGTGATGAAGCTGACAGGATTCATCTACACAGTTTTTTTCTGCCTTTTTATTCTCATAATATTTTGATTCTTGTCACCATACATGATTCTCATTCTGGCTGTAAGCCGGACCGGAGGCGGAACCGCTCCGGGCCGGTACCTACAGGAGAACCCAGCTGCCTGGTTGTTCTGGCAGCAACAGAAGCAGGGATGGGCCCGGTGGGCTGCATCAGGCAGCAATCAGAGCACTCTATAGTCTGAGGAAGGCAGTGCACACAAACGTCTAAAGCCTGACCTTTGACCTCGGGCCTGACCCTGGCCTCCCACTGTTTGTTGTTTCTGACTAAATCTGCTTTTTCTGTAGCTACAGACACAACATGCATACATCCGGGTCGAGCAGTGACCTGGATTGGCTCCGGCCCAGAACCTTTGGTATAGAAACTGATGCAGTGAATGTGATGTTTTAACATGAAGTCAGCGGGCCGACTGTCACTGTGAGGACGGGAAGTCGATACATCCTGTGACTTCTTTGGTCTCATTGGATGAATAAATAAAAGATGTACCAGATGCAGTTTTCTGATAAAAGGTGATTAAGCAAAGCTAACTGTAAACCCAAACAGAGCTAAGAGTTTTTTTGTGGTACTGAATGTCCATCCAGCCTCCCGTCTGGAGAAGCAGCAGTTCCTCCTGATCCTTCAGTCTTCCTGTTTTCCACCGGTCTCTGTGCTACAGCAGGGTCGTTTTCTGTCGACCTTCAGTCTTCTCCCGCTTGCTTAAACTCAGCTGGCTCTCTGCTAGCGTCGGATCCACCCTGCGGTACCGAGACCTGGGAGGTGCGATGGCAGTGAGTTCATGCTGGTCGGCGAACACAACCCTCTGGTTCTCATTTCGGACGTTTATCACTTTCAAGATGCGCTTGCTTATGAGGTAAATCATCTCGAGGATGCACATTAAGATGCAGATGGCGCTGGACACGACCATGAAGAGCATGAAGATCTTCTTCTCTGTTGGACGACTGATGAAGCAGTCCACGGTGTTGGGACACGGTGGCAGGGAACACTTGGAGAGTCTGCAGAGAAAGTAGAGCAGATTGAAGCAAACTGAAGAACAGCACTGTTGTCTTTGCCACCGAGTAAAGTCCAAAGCTTACCTGGGAAGGTCGTATCCATGGTAGATCCGATACAGAATATAGAGAAATGATGTGTCAAACCCTGCTTTAAAGACCAAGCTCACTAGATACGTCCACCACAGACCTCCTCTCTTCTTGCCGGGGTTGGCGTAAAGGTGAGAGCCTTGGTGAACCGCCGTGTACTTCCTGTCCTTCCCCTCACGATATTTAACATGAGCCATGACCATCAGAGATGGGCAGGTGACGAAGATCAGCTGCAGCGCCCACAGACGGATGTGAGAGATGGGGAAGATATGGTCGTAGCAGACGTTGTTACAGCCAGGCTGAAAAACGGTCAAACATGTTGAGTACTGGACCCCACCAGAAGGAGAGCAACCAACTGGAGCAGAAACACATTATGACAACAGAAAACCTTCAGGAGACAATGGAGAACCGCCTGAAGGACAGAAACCAGGCTGACCTCTGAGACCCAAACATAAATTAGGTCGGCATGGCTGATTCGACAGCCAGACAGCCAGCTGTGGTGTGAGGGATGAAACAGCCTGAAGCAGTTCCATCTGAAGGCCAGCAGGGGGAGACTCATGTAGCAGTTCCATCTGAAGGCCAGCAGGGGGAGACTCATGTAGCAGTTCCATCTGAAGGCCAGCAGGGGGAGACTCATGTAGCAGTTCCATCTGAAGGCCAGCAGGGGGAGACTCATGTAGCAGTTCCATCTGAAGGCCAGCAGGGGGAGACTCATGTAGCAGTTCCATCTGAAGGCCAGCAGGGGAGACTCATGTAGCAGTTCCATCTGAAGGCCAGCAGGGGGAGACTCATGTAGCAGTTCCATCTGAAGGCCAGCAGGGGGAGACTCATGTAGCAGTTCCATCTGAAGGCCAGCAGGGGGAGACTCATGTAGCAGTTCCATCTGAAGGCCAGCAGGGGGAGACTCATGTAGCAGTTCCATCTGAAGGCCAGCAGGGGAGACTCATGTAGCAGTTCCATCTGAAGGCCAGCAGGGGGAGACTCATGTAGCAGTTCCATCTGAAGGCCAGCAGGGGGAGACTCATGTAGCAGGAAATAAACGATGGCTTTAACCAGAGTAAAATACCTTGAAACAAGGATGTTTCTGGAGCTGGATGCCGACTTGAGGAGGATGGAGTCCTCAGTTGCATTCAGACTGTTTAACCAAAGGTCTTGATGAAGAGCAGGAAGGTCTGAACGAGGTTTTATCGGGTCAACTAAAGGTTGCTATGGAGAGTCCCCCACTGTTCTGTCTCTGTCCTTGTGCCTGCTGATACCTCGGGTTTTCCACCATGCAGATTGTTTTTTTCTGTTAAGTCTTAAGTTGTTCCAACTTTGGTTTAACATGATCCAAATGGGGGTGGGTTTAAAGATTGCAGTATTTGTGTTCACTGCAATCGATACAGGACTGTGTTTATTACTTACATTACTTGTTATTACTGTCTTTGTAATTATTGTTTTTTTTGTTTGTTTGTTTTTTTGTATTTTTTAGTTTTTTTTTTACCAACTATAACTGTTTGTCGATTAAACAAATGAAGAGTTGCTGTAATCAGAAACCTGTTGTTCCGCCGCTCTGACTCACATGTTCAGGTGTGTTAGTGTGGAGCTCACCTGTTTGGTGTTGCACACAAAGTCCTTGCTTTCATCTCCCCACACCCTCTGGGCCGCCACTACAAACACCATGACCCGGAAGACAAACACCATGGACAGCCAGATCCTCCCGAAGGCTGTGGAGTACTTATTGACGCCACTCAGCAGATTCTCCAGTCCGGACCAGTTCATCCTGCCGTGTTAGGGTTCTGGGACACACCCAGGCTCTGTCTGGGTACAGGAAACATGAGACATCATGAGACATCATAAGACATCAGAAGACATCATGAGACATCATGAGACACCCGCCACTCCAGTCCAACAGGTCCAGTTCTAGAGCATCTGGGCAAGTCGCATTAATGCCTTCGTCTCCATGGCTGCTCTGACCAATCCCTCAGAACCTGGTTCTGTTTGGACCTCCAGTCCATCGCAACCACCTTTCAGTCTAACTGGGTCAGAACTTCACCCAACCCAGCCGTCCGGTCCATCAGAACCTTGTTCCCAATTTGGTAAGGTGTGGTTCTGCAGAGGAACAGAACCCTGGTATTTCCTCCGACCTGGAGAGGAAAGCTGGAAGACTAGATGATCTCTGTTGGTTTATCACTAGGTTCTGACCCGGATTATGTGTTGTTCTACAGAAATTTGGAAATTCTCTGACCTCTAGATGGCAGCTGGCCGCTCAGAGTGAACCTTGTTGTAGTTCTTGTTCTGGGAGAATCCTTTAATAGGTTTCTGCTTGTTAAGGGGAGTTGTTTCTCTCCGCTGTCGCCACATGCATGCTCAACCTGCTGCACAGTGCAGTCTGCTTGTTTCCCCAGGAACTTTTCCAGCTAATTTGAATGAACTGAACTTGATTCTCTGACTGATAACTGGGATCAACTGGAAGGACTGGATGATTGAACTGAAACCACTTCTTTTGGAAAGAGCATCAGTACGATGTGTTGTGAATTGGTGCTGTAGAAATAAACTGTATTGAATGAAAAATCAATTCCTATAAATGTGTTTGTTCTTTGGCAAAATCAACATTTCTATGGTCAAAGCTGAACATCTCAAATTTGCAAGTTCTAGGGTAGCCCCTCTTTTTGCTTTGTGCTTCACTGATTTTATTATGCATGGCTTTATTCCTGATTCCTTGATGAATGTTCTTCTACTTCCTGTGATTAAAAACAAAGCTGGTAGAATTGGCAGCTCTGATAACTATAGACCTATAGCCATTGCTAGTACACTGTCTAAAGTCTTTGAACTAATTCTTTTGCCTAAATTTGAAAAGATAGTTATGTGTACTGATTATCAATTTGGCTCCAAGTCCAAACATGGCACTGATATGTGTATATATGGCCTAAATTAAAGAATTACTGAATAATTATACCAGCAAAAACTCTACAGTCTTTTTGTGTTTTTTAGACACCACCAAGGCTTTTGATCATGTAAATCATAGAAAATTATTTTTAAAATTGTGCCAAGCTGGTGTGCCCAAATATATAGTAAGATGTCTGATATATTGGTATACCAATCAAACTATGCAGGTCAATGGGAAAATTGTATATCTGCATCCTTTCATGTTAGCAATGGAGTCAGACAAGGTAGTATTTTATCACCCATGTTATTTAACTTTTACATGAATGAACTCTCTACGCAGCTTCACCGGTGTGGTTGGCGATACCATTATTAATCTTTTAATGTATGCTGATGATATAGTGATTTTTAGTCCAAGTTCAGCTGGTCTTCAGAAGCTGCTTAATGTCTGTTCAGCATATGGTAAGTATGTGATGTTAAATTTAATCCATCAAAAAGTATTATCTTGATCTGTCACACTAAGCAGGACAAAAATAGCAAATTTCCTAATTTCAAACTGTCTGGGACTCAATTGAATGTCTCTAATGAAATAAAATATCTTGGTCATGTGTTGACAGACACTTTGTCTGATGATGCAGACATTTACTGACAGGTTCGAATGTTATATGCTCAGGCCAATATCCTGGTCCGTAAGTTTGGCTTCTGTACTGACGAAGTGAAACTGCATTTGTTTCGATCATATTGTACATCATTGTATACAGCACATTTGTGGTGCAATTTTTTAAAAAACAGTCTTCAAAAATTGAAGGTGGCTTTTAATGATGCTTTAAGACTTTTGTTAAATAAGCCCAGATGGACCAGTGCCAGTGAACTGTTTGTATCTGCTCGCGTTAGCACTTTGATGGCTTTTTAAAGGAAGCTTATGAATCAATTTATTTGTGTAATCAAGTCTAAAAATAGAATTATTCTATCGTTGATAAATGTTAAATATAATGTTGTAAAATACTCATTTGTACTCTGGAGATATTGGTATGATTGCCTCCTGAGGGGTTAGTTGCCATTTTAACGCACTTTTTATTCTTTTATTGTTTTTCTTTTCTTTTTATGTATATTAGGACTTTGAGTCTGCGCAATAAAATCTATCTATCTATCTATAAAATGGCTGAGTTTAGGCATTTCCTGTTAAAATGAGGCAATACAGTGCTTTGCCCCTGGGGGCGCTGTTTCACAGGCGACATCAACAGCCGCCTCGTTTCGCTCAGCCGAGGGCGGTTGTTTACCCGCAGGTCATTTTGGATAACTTCCGGTAAACCGTGTGGAGGAAGCAAAGCGGAGGACAGAGAGCAGAGAGCCGGTTGTTTCCAGCAGTGCGTACCTTCATATTTTCATTCAGTCAACAGGAAAAAATACAGTCTTTGGATTTTTCATTGTTACTGTTTACTATTAACAGAATTGTGGATAAAAAGGTATTTTGTATCAAAACATTGTGTACACACATCTGTGTCTGTCTGTGGGTGGGAACATGTCCGTCATAAACCTGGGTGTTGTTGGTCAGTGTGAAACCATCCAGTGAAGCTAGCTGAAACCATGCAGTGAAGCTAGCTGAAACCATCCAGTGAAGCTAGCTGAAACCATGCAGTGAAGCTAGCTGAAACCATGCAGTGAAGCTAGCTGAAACCATCCAGTGAAGCTAGCTGAAACCATGCAGTGAAGCTAGCTGAAACCATCCAGTGAAGCTAGCTGAAACCATGCAGTGAAGCTAGCTGAAACCATCCAGTGAAGCTAGCTGAAACCATGCAGTGAAGCTAGCTGAAACCATCCAGTGAAGCTAGCTGAAACCATGCAGTGAAGCTAGCTGAAACCATGCAGTGAAGCTAGCTGAAACCATGCAGCGAAGCTAGCTGAAACCATCCAGCGAAGCTAGCTGAAACCATGCAGTGAAGCTAGCTGAAACCATCCAGTGAAGCTAGCTGAAACATCCAGTGAAGCTAGCTGAAGCCATGCAGTGAAGCTAGCTGAAACCATCCAGTGAAGCTAGCTGAAACCATCCAGTGAAGCTAGCTGAAACATCCAGTGAAGCTAGCTGAAGCCATGCAGTGAAGCTAGCTGACGCTATGCAGTGAAGCTAGCTGAAACCATGCAGTGAAGCTAGCTGAAACCATGCAGTGAAGCTAGCTGAAACATCCAGTGAAGCTAGCTGAAGCCATGCAGTCAAGCTAGCTGAAGCCATGCAGTGAAGCTAGCTGAAACTATGCAGTGAAGCTAGCTGAAACATCCAGTGAAGCTAGCTGAAACCATGCAGTGAAGCTAGCTGAAGCCATGCAGTGAAGCTAGCTGAAACCATCCAGTGAAGCTAGCTGAAACCATGCAGTGAAGCTAGCTGAAACCATGCAGTGAAGCTAGCTGAAACCATCCAGTGAAGCTAGCTGAAACCATCCAGTGAAGCTAGCTGAAACATCCAGTGAAGCTAGCTGAAGCCATGCAGTGAAGCTAGCTGACGCTATGCAGTGAAGCTAGCTGAAACCATGCAGTGAAGCTAGCTGAAACCATGCAGTGAAGCTAGCTGAAACATCCAGTGAAGCTAGCTGAAGCCATGCAGTCAAGCTAGCTGAAGCCATGCAGTGAAGCTAGCTGAAACTATGCAGTGAAGCTAGCTGAAACATCCAGTGAAGCTAGCTGAAACCATGCAGTGAAGCTAGCTGAAGCCATGCAGTGAAGCTAGCTGAAACCATGCAGTGAAGCTAGCTGAAGCCATGCAGTGAAGCTAGCTGAAACCATGCAGTGAAGCTAGCTGAAGCCATGCAGTGAAGCTAGCTGAAACTATGCAGTGAAGCTAGCTGAAACATCCAGTGAAGCTAGCTGAAACCATGCAGTGAAGCTAGCTGAAGCCATGCAGTGAAGCTAGCTGAAACCATGCAGTGAAGCTAGCTGAAGCCATGCAGTGAAGCTAGCTGAAACCATGCAGTGAAGCTAGCTGAAACATGCAGTGAAGCTAGCTGAAGCCATCCAGTGAAGCTAGCTGAAACATGCAGTGAAGCTAGCTGAAACATGCAGTGAAGCTAGCTGAAGCCATCCAGTGAAGCTAGCTGAAACCATGCAGTGAAGCTAGCTGAAACCATGCAGCGAAGCTAGCTGAAACCATCCAGCGAAGCTAGCTGAAACCATGCAGTGAAGCTAGCTGAAACCATCCAGTGAAGCTAGCTGAAACCATGCAGTGAAGCTAGCTGAAACCATGCAGTGAAGCTAGCTGAAACCATCCAGTGAAGCTAGCTGAAACCATCCAGTGAAGCTAGCTGAAACATCCAGTGAAGCTAGCTGAAGCCATGCAGTGAAGCTAGCTGACGCTATGCAGTGAAGCTAGCTGAAACCATGCAGTGAAGCTAGCTGAAACCATGCAGTGAAGCTAGCTGAAACATCCAGTGAAGCTAGCTGAAGCCATGCAGTCAAGCTAGCTGAAGCCATGCAGTGAAGCTAGCTGAAACTATGCAGTGAAGCTAGCTGAAACATCCAGTGAAGCTAGCTGAAACCATGCAGTGAAGCTAGCTGAAGCCATGCAGTGAAGCTAGCTGAAACCATCCAGTGAAGCTAGCTGAAGCCATGCAGTGAAGCTAGCTGACGCTATGCAGTGAAGCTAGCTGAAGCCATGCAGTGAAGCTAGCTGAAACCATGCAGTGAAGCTAGCTGAAACATCCAGTGAAGCTAGCTGAAGCCATGCAGTCAAGCTAGCTGAAGCCATGCAGTGAAGCTAGCTGAAACTATGCAGTGAAGCTAGCTGAAACATCCAGTGAAGCTAGCTGAAACCATGCAGTGAAGCTAGCTGAAGCCATGCAGTGAAGCTAGCTGAAACCATGCAGTGAAGCTAGCTGAAGCCATGCAGTGAAGCTAGCTGAAACCATGCAGTGAAGCTAGCTGAAGCCATGCAGTGAAGCTAGCTGAAACTATGCAGTGAAGCTAGCTGAAACATCCAGTGAAGCTAGCTGAAACCATGCAGTGAAGCTAGCTGAAGCCATGCAGTGAAGCTAGCTGAAACCATGCAGTGAAGCTAGCTGAAGCCATGCAGTGAAGCTAGCTGAAACCATGCAGTGAAGCTAGCTGAAACATGCAGTGAAGCTAGCTGAAGCCATCCAGTGAAGCTAGCTGAAACATGCAGTGAAGCTAGCTGAAACATGCAGTGAAGCTAGCTGAAGCCATCCAGTGAAGCTAGCTGAAACATCCAGTGAAGCTAGCTGAAACCATGCAGTGAAGCTAGCTGAAGCCATGCAGTGAAGCTAGCTGAAACCATGCAGTGAAGCTAGCTGAAGCCATGCAGTGAAGCTAGCTGAAACCATGCAGTGAAGCTAGCTGAAGCCATGCAGTGAAGCTAGCTGAAACATCCAGTGAAGCTAGCTGAAACCATGCAGTGAAGCTAGCTGAAGCCATGCAGTGAAGCTAGCTGAAACCATGCAGTGAAGCTAGCTGAAGCCATGCAGTGAAGCTAGCTGAAACCATGCAGTGAAGCTAGCTGAAACATGCAGTGAAGCTAGCTGAAGCCATCCAGTGAAGCTAACTGAAACATGCAGTGAAGCTAGCTGAAACATGCAGTGAAGCTAGCTGAAGCCATCCAGTGAAGCTAGCTGAAACCATGCAGTGAAGCTAGCTGAAACCATGCAGTGAAGCTAACTGAAACGTCCAGTGAAGCTAGCTGAAACCATGCAGTGAAGCTAGCTGCAACATCCAGTGAAGCTAGCTGAAACCATGCAGTGAAGCTAGCTGCAACATCCAGTGAAGCTAGCTGAAACGTCCAGTGAAGCTAGCTGAAACCATGCAGTGAAGCTAGCTGAAACATCCAGTGAAGCTAGCTGAAGCCATGCAGTGAAGCTAGCTGAAACATCCAGTGAAGCTAGCTGAAACCATGCAGTGAAGCTAGCTGAAGCCATGCAGTGAAGCTAGCTGAAACCATGCAGTGAAGCTAGCTGAAGCCATGCAGTGAAGCTAGCTGAAACCATGCAGTGAAGCTAGCTGAAGCCATGCAGTGAAGCTAGCTGAAACATCCAGTGAAGCTAGCTGAAACCATGCAGTGAAGCTAGCTGAAGCCATGCAGTGAAGCTAGCTGAAACCATGCAGTGAAGCTAGCTGAAGCCATGCAGTGAAGCTAGCTGAAACCATGCAGTGAAGCTAGCTGAAACATGCAGTGAAGCTAGCTGAAGCCATCCAGTGAAGCTAGCTGAAACATGCAGTGAAGCTAGCTGAAACATGCAGTGAAGCTAGCTGAAGCCATCCAGTGAAGCTAGCTGAAACCATGCAGTGAAGCTAGCTGAAACCATGCAGCGAAGCTAGCTGAAACCATCCAGCGAAGCTAGCTGAAACCATGCAGTGAAGCTAGCTGAAACCATCCAGTGAAGCTAGCTGAAACCATGCAGTGAAGCTAGCTGAAACCATGCAGTGAAGCTAGCTGAAACCATCCAGTGAAGCTAGCTGAAACCATCCAGTGAAGCTAGCTGAAACATCCAGTGAAGCTAGCTGAAGCCATGCAGTGAAGCTAGCTGACGCTATGCAGTGAAGCTAGCTGAAACCATGCAGTGAAGCTAGCTGAAACCATGCAGTGAAGCTAGCTGAAACATCCAGTGAAGCTAGCTGAAGCCATGCAGTCAAGCTAGCTGAAGCCATGCAGTGAAGCTAGCTGAAACTATGCAGTGAAGCTAGCTGAAACATCCAGTGAAGCTAGCTGAAACCATGCAGTGAAGCTAGCTGAAGCCATGCAGTGAAGCTAGCTGAAACCATCCAGTGAAGCTAGCTGAAACCATGCAGTGAAGCTAGCTGAAACCATGCAGTGAAGCTAGCTGAAACCATCCAGTGAAGCTAGCTGAAACCATCCAGTGAAGCTAGCTGAAACATCCAGTGAAGCTAGCTGAAGCCATGCAGTGAAGCTAGCTGACGCTATGCAGTGAAGCTAGCTGAAGCCATGCAGTGAAGCTAGCTGAAACCATGCAGTGAAGCTAGCTGAAACATCCAGTGAAGCTAGCTGAAGCCATGCAGTCAAGCTAGCTGAAGCCATGCAGTGAAGCTAGCTGAAACTATGCAGTGAAGCTAGCTGAAACATCCAGTGAAGCTAGCTGAAACCATGCAGTGAAGCTAGCTGAAGCCATGCAGTGAAGCTAGCTGAAACCATGCAGTGAAGCTAGCTGAAGCCATGCAGTGAAGCTAGCTGAAACCATGCAGTGAAGCTAGCTGAAGCCATGCAGTGAAGCTAGCTGAAACTATGCAGTGAAGCTAGCTGAAACATCCAGTGAAGCTAGCTGAAACCATGCAGTGAAGCTAGCTGAAGCCATGCAGTGAAGCTAGCTGAAACCATGCAGTGAAGCTAGCTGAAGCCATGCAGTGAAGCTAGCTGAAACCATGCAGTGAAGCTAGCTGAAACATGCAGTGAAGCTAGCTGAAGCCATCCAGTGAAGCTAGCTGAAACATGCAGTGAAGCTAGCTGAAACATGCAGTGAAGCTAGCTGAAGCCATCCAGTGAAGCTAGCTGAAACATCCAGTGAAGCTAACTGAAACATGCAGTGAAGCTAGCTGAAACCATGCAGTGAAGCTAGCTGAAACGTCCAGTGAAGCTAGCTGAAACCATGCAGTGAAGCTAGCTGAAACGTCCAGTGAAGCT